ATAATACTGTCATGTTGTTTACTATCATTCATATTATTATATATACTGTCAAAATTGTTATTTAAATTGCCTTGGGCCTTTCTTCTTTCAAAACTGAGCCCAGACTGACCCACCTTTAGTTTACACTGTGTGTCTTATCGCCTTTCAATTATTATTGCAATCCAATGTAATTCAAGACTATACCTCAACCAGCTAGAAACAACATTAAATCAGTGCTTTCCCATACTCAGCAATTTTTATCAAACAGATCAGCAATTTAGTAAAATGTTTCTGCTCCTTCCTTTGCTGATTAGAGTTTAGACATGTGATTCTGTAAACTTGCAATGTTTTGTCTGATGACTTAGTCCATGTTGTTGATGTTTGCGAAACTGTCGTTAACTTTTCTCTCTCTCTCTCTCTAGCTCTATCAAGCCCTGACTTTGAAACAAGCCGAGCGAGACGTCACCATTATCCATCTGTCGAGCACGTGTCGTCACGGCGACAGCACCCCGCCCACCACTACTCCCGTCACCATCAGCACCACAGGAACATGAAGAACACGGCCAGGGACCGATTCAAGCAACTGGCTGCTGTCCGTTCGACCGACCCTACGTCAATGGACAAAGAAGAGATTAAGAAGATTGGGACTAAGCTGATCGTGTTAATGGACTATGAAGCAGTCATTGATGATGAACTCTCAGTCGAGTTTGCTGAGACCCTACTAGCTGACGTACTAAGTCAAAACGGGCTTGAGAGGATATGGGTTTACTGCCCGCGTACTGATAGCTGTGGGTTCGTACCAATGTCCATGGTAGTGCCACCTGTTGTTTAGAGACTAGAACTTTTATAAGAGAGACAATTTAACGCATACACACACTTGATCATCCTGCTCCCTTTCTCTCTCTTTTCCATTGATCATATTTTTCTCCTTTTATCTCTGATAATATATACTCTATATCAGGTCCTCATTGTGTTATTATCCACTCACTCACTCCATGCACTATGTGACATTGTACAGATTCTCTCTCTTTCTCTTTTTGTGTTCATTCCTTCAACTTATGATATGTGCAATATTCAGAAGCACAAGTATAATAATAATAAATATTTAAACACTAACAAAGTTCCATGGTGGATATAGCCCATCTTTGAAGGACTATATGTGACTTCCACAAATTCGCAACAGAATATGACACCGTTAGGAACTGACAGAATATCCAAACAAGTATCATTGTTGATAGGACACTAATGTGGATAAGAATTCATTAATAAAACAAAGCCTGCATTGTTTACCATATAAAGACTTGGTGAATTCGTAGTCCCACGAACTCTATCGGGTTTCACTTCAGACTATAATGTTATAATCAAACCTGACTGGGATTACTTTCTTTATAGAGAAGTATTTTAATGAGATTAGTATCAAAAATGTGGCAGTCACCATACGATATTCCTCCTTTCACTCTTTGTCTTCTTGCGTGCTTTACCCACTAAATAAAGATTACGCCATAAACTAGTACATGTCATGTACTTATTATAATTCGTTAGTCTACGTGCACAGTATAGTGGCCGCGCCCAGTAACAAGGCTAATTGCGTTACCATGGAACCTTGTTTGTAGTGGCATGCATGGAATGTGGGCATATTTTGACATTGTTTGGCAGCTCAAGTGATTCTTCTTCTTGTTGGTTGCTATTGACTGTGGGTACAATGAATAATATATCATTGAGAAGAGAGAGAGAGGGGAGAGAAAGAGAGAAAGAGAGAGAGAGAAAAGAGAGGAGTAGGGGTATTAATTTAGCAACTGTGAAATGATTACAGGAAAATGTGGGAGAAGCAGTGATACAAGAGCAATGAAATGTACCACAAAGATAAATATGTATTACTTATCCAAACTAATACATAAGAATGACGGACAATCATAGCCGTAGTGCACCGTGCCTCTTCTTTGATGTGAGTGTATTATTAGCCAAAGACTTTGTGATATGCTCGTAATTCTCTGTGTTGATAAAAACAGATATCGTACACATGAAGAGTCCATTAGCATCACACTGGATGAATCAAGTGTATCTTTTTAATTGTGTAATACGCCAACCACAAAGACTAATTTAGTGGAAGCAAGTAGACCCTCTGACCACTTGTTGTGTATCAGTGAGTGATATTAAAAGGTGTTATTAGTTGATAAAGGAAATAATTGTGTTAAGAGAGGACATATTACATGTTGAATTGGTTGAGGGAATTTCATTTAGAAAGGAAACAAAAAATACATTACAGATCAATGGATTATCATAAGAAGAGAAAGGAAGAGAAAATGAGAGCTTTCACCAAAACAATGGAATGACATAAAGCAAGTGACATCAAATGATGTAGACTAAATGGGCTACAATACAAATCTTACTATAACCACTTCAGAGATTGTGACAATCCAATTAAAATATCCTGTGACATTGTATGATGTCATCTGGCATCATACTAATCTGATTAAGCTCACTGTATGGTAGGTAGAGTTGCCATAACCATCATTTTTGTTATGATGATTTTATGTGTTTCTTACATGAGATCATGAATCAAAGACCAGCTAGGAGAGGATATTAATCTAATCTATTACCTATACACATTAACATTCTTGTGCTGTGTATCAAAATAGATTGTACTGAAGTTTCTCTAATATTTGACAAAAGTCCCTGTACTATAGTACAAGGGGCTTTTGTCAAAAATGGCTTCAAGAGAATTCTCCATTTTTATTACATTTCCTGATGCATATACATGTTTTTATGTTGTGTAGAAAGTTTGAGCTGATTCCGATCAAAATTAATTTTTTTACAAATTTTTAAAGTTGCTCCAAAATCAGTTAAAAGTCCCTGTACTATAGTACATGGTTACGGGCCGAATTTTGCCAAAAATGTCAAGGAGAGAATTCTTCATTTTTATTACATTTCCTGATGCATATACATGTACTTATGTTGTGTAGAAAGTTTGAGCTGATTCTGATCAAAATTGGATTTTTTACAAATTTTTAAAGTTGCTCCAAAATCAGTTAAAAGTCCCTGTACTATAGTACATGGTCACGGGCCAAATTTGGCCAAAAATGTCAAGGAGAGAATTCTCCATTTTTATTACTTTTTCTGATGCATATATATGTACTTATGTTATGTAGAAAGTTTGAGCTGATTCCGATCAAAATTGGATTTTTTACAAATTTTTAAAGTTACTCAAAAATCGGACAAAAGTCCCTGTACTATAGTACATGGTCACAGGCCAAATTTCGCCAAAATTGAAAAGGAGAGAATTCTCAATTTTTATTACATTTCCTGATACATGTACATGTTCTTATGTTGTGTATAAAGCAGTGCTGTAGTTTAAGCACATGTCTGACCTCACCTAACTGTTATCAGTGATACACAATACCTCTATTCCATTACACTCATTTCTATTAATAACAATAATAATAAATATAATAATAATAATAATGATAGCTAGGTGTACCAATTAATGCTTTTAGCAGCTTATAGATATGTTTACTGGCTCAGCATGGGGGCACTTTCCTGTTTCCTATAGATCAAAGAGAAGTGAAAATAAAAAATATAATTATTGCGACATGTTTACCGAGCAGCATCAAAGCTTGTAACGCTCGCTCCGTCTCAATTTCTCTCCTGAGGGTGATAAAGATAGGAGAGAGATGGATCCAGAGAGAACTCATAAGTTGAAACCACGACTAGTCGCCCACAACTGTGTGTTTTAACTGATAGGTACCACAAACAGTAAACGTTAGTCAAAACACAAAAACAAACATCACAAAGTACCAGTCTACCGGGAGGAAAGAAGTTCCTAGTTACACTCATAAAACCACATTCAGCATCAGTTTCTATGCAGTTGCATCATCATTACACCACATCAGTATAAACCACAACTTTAATACATTGCCAAGTTATACAAAATGGTTACCATAATAACACATGAGCTTTTCTTTCATCACTTGCCATTTTTAGTCTTATTTTACTAAACTATAGTGCAACTGAAATTCCACAAATGATGTACTTACAAGAAATGGTACAAATTGTATTTCATGGGATACAGAACTATGTAACTCCACTATAGTTCTGACTCTACTCAACTATACATAGATTTGTACATACTTTCACTTCCAGACCAACTTGTGATGCAATCATCAAAGACAGACATCAAACTGTAATTGAACAATATTTGTGTGATCAAACATATTTAAATACATCATTCAACATTGGAACTACTGTCAAGTACATCTTTATGAGTGCCTGCAGTTGAAACAAGGAGAGGACAGAGAGAGAGGGGAAGCTTGAGGGGATAGAGAGAGAGAGGGGGGAAGACTAGGGAAGGAAGGAGATTTAAAAGAGATAACACATAAACTGTACTGCTTGTTTAAACGAGTGAACTTCTTCCATCAGCCAATAAATTACATAATATCAAAGATGATGATAATAATCCACAGGCTGTGTAAACCATAATTGCCTTAAAATTTAATTTTATTAAAATGACCACAACAGCATGTGTATATGTATATCACATGTCTCCTGAGATATAAGATATCTAGAAGCTTGTGCTCCATAAACTAGACAGAGATCTCTCTATCTCAGTTTCCCCACACTCTAAATGTTGACATCAAGATCCTAAATCTTGCTAAAGTACAAGAATATCTGATTCCGTTTTGTGTAACTCTAGTATAGAAGGTGCTCCTTTGTAATGTAAAACCATCTTTATCACTAATAGGAGACCAGGAAGCATCAACTACCAAGAGAGATACTATACACAGATACACCTATTTTTATTAATAATGATTTATTCAATATGATTACATATACAGGTGCTCCATAAGGTTTTAAAAAGCAGCTGTTTCGTATTATCATAATAAACTGGAGAAAGATAAAACAAACTGATCTCTCCCTCCCTCCCACACCTTTCCTCTCTCTCTCTCTCCCTCTTCCTTCTTTGAAATGGATACATATTCATATGACCTCACTGACAGCTAGTCTGGATACTATAAACTCTCCCTTAACTCACTATGATCTACACACACATGTACATGTACATACACACACACACACACACACACACACACACACGCATACCTTGATTATAATACTCAGTAATGTACAGTGTATGTCCGGTCACTACACTGGGCTAGCAGCTGTTACGCTATGGCGGCATGATGCTGTAATGTGGTGTAGCGATGATGTGAAGGCTATCAATAGTATCTTTATTGAATAAGTAAGGTTGGGTAGTAAATAGGAGATTAGGAAACACTATAGGCCCCAGGATTTCGTATTACAAAACCACACTCTAAGATGTAGATCAAAACAGATACCATAGAACATAAAGCATATTAACAATAGTACAATGGATTCAGGCAGGCTGGCACATACTTGTAATGAGGATATAGGATATACTTTTAAGCTATTATAATATGAACACATCTGGATGTTTCTTAATGCAGATCTATAGCCCTAATTCTTATCTTATAGTTCTACCTTCAGTTCCCAGTATGTATGATTGAATTATAACCTGCCATAGTTACGAGTATGATAGTACTTTTTATAGTACAGTATTAATGATGATATTATAGGCAGCTGCATGCTGGCCGGTTATATTAGTATATTGATTAATCTCAAACTGGATTACTACCATCTTCATTATTGGATTAATTTCATTGATTAACATCAAAGAGATTAATTCAATTTGGCAACATGAGTAGATCAACTAATGACATTACAAGATTGTAGGAAAGATTACCATTATTGTATAATGGTATAAGCTATGCACTCTGCTGTTGTTTAATAATAATGGCGGCATTAAACCACCACTCTGGAGGAAGTTAGGTGAAGCTGCAGCTGCGTCAGGTACTACTTGTACTATACAAGGCTTGGGTCGCCTTTGATGTATTCTGTTATACACAAGACTAACTGTCTGTTATTATGTAGAAAGAAATAACAGATAAAAGAAAGAAAGGAGAATGGCTAGCAATAACACAGCCTTATTGGACAAGAGGTGTGCTACATCAAAAAGATATCAAAATGATGAGTCACTCTCCTCCTCTCTCACCATCGATGTCACCAATAACAAGAAATCAATCAATTCAAAATCAAACTCTGCGGCTGCCTTTATGAAGTCCTTAAAAACAGCTGCACATTTACACACCTCCACTAGTACAAGTGTCTACTATGATTAAGGGTAGGGCAGCTGTTCCTGTGAACGTGTGTCCTTATGATAATAATTAGAAGAAAGTCTGTTTGATTGGCATTTGCTTTGATGATTAATGTCTATGTGTACACCCTTAAAATAATGAAGTGGTGCACTCAATGAAAACATTTTAATTTAGCAGATACAGCAACTATACAGACTGATCTTTATCAAGTTTTATGTACACTTGCTAACTGAGCATGTACGAATGTAACAGCTAAACATAGAGTGAGAGAAAGAGGAACAATTAAGTTTGTGTCAGGATATGATGACATACACTATGTCATTCACACCACTGTAGTACTATAGCTGCTACCATAGCAACCACAGCAAAGCAGGACAAATCCAAAAAGATGAAATTCACATCATAAAAGGTGACATTTATAACACCCTCAATTTAACAAACCACCAGGAAAAGTGATTATACTTAAGGGGGCCCCCACTAGCAGTGGACCTTTTCTTTATAAGTTAACCACAATGACGCAACTATTATTATTATATACACTGAAAGAGACTGTTACTTGTTGATATTACATATAACACCACATTCTGTGACAGAGCGGTCTCTTTGATGTTCACAGCACCTGTATAATTATTATATTCACATGTACAAACACATTCAAACAGGCAGTACTTGTTCCTTAAGTGTCCACCCAGGGAGACAGCAGCTGTGTGTACATTATACAGCTGAGACTAGCACAATATAAGGAGAGCTTGAGAGATTGATAAAGATCAAAGGATTACTCTGGAGGGTAGGCATTAACAAACAAGAGTATAGCTGACAGCGTCTGATACTGGTCAATGCTGCTACCTAATGTAGACTGGAACAATAATGCTACTGCAGTTCATTTTATCCTTATTTAGATATAAGTGTAATTATTGTGTTATTAATAACTGTACGTGAAGATGACTCAGCTTTTGATACTATGAATGACAAATCATTTTTATAATGAAAATGATTTTTAAAAGCAAAATTGACCTCTCTCTCTCCTCTCTCTTTCTCTCTCTCTCTCTCTGTCATTATAGACACAAGACTAAAGAATGTGGAGCATACTTACATCATGTCCTTATACTCATGAGACATCCGCTCTCTCTACACTAAAGCACATACATTACATACTTCATGTTCATACTAGTGCATAACCTTTGTGTGATCATGGTAATGGCTCATTTCTCTGCACTCACTACTTATCAGAAATGTTTCTAATTCACTCACTGCCTTGTTAGATAGACCTTTTTGTATACATGGCTACATTAATTGTTTTATCTGCTAATATACATGTATATAAATGGAGAATGTATGTGTAATTTAAATATTAATATATAATAGTTTAACAAGTTGAATGTTAAGTAAAAGAATTCATTAGCTATCATTAGCACAGCGAACGTACCGTTATTAGTATCATTATTATTAACAAGAAGATTAATGAAATTATGCTATACTTTCATGCATGGCATTGGTATAAGATGAGTAGCAGATCCAAATAAACAGGGAGAGAGGGAGAGAAAGAGAGAGAGGGAGAGGTGGGGGGACAGTAAACAATGTACGGTTGAGTAGTTAGGACGTGTTTGAAGTTGAATAATAACAACTGAACCACACACAGGCTGGCAGACTTACAGGGTCCGTAGCTAACTCCTCCCTCCAATACAGCAAAATGACATAACCAGACATTGTAGTGTATCAGCTGTAGTTATAGTAACCTAATGAAGTCATCATTCACAGCATTGATTTAAGGATTATTCTTAGGAACTGATGATGATATTAATATGATATAAAAGATCATTTATTTAATGATAAGTGTAGAGGTTAATGAAGCAGCTGTTTCTTTTAAATCTTATTTACATTATCTATCTTTATATCTTGTTTACCACCAATATATCCTGTTTTCCCTCTCATAAATATTCTTATTATTAATTTCAAAGATCACACACACACACACACATACACTTTTCATTCTCTTTAGCTGAGGGAGACTGCCGTTACTATGACAATCCCTTGCCAAGAAATGCAATGTGTAAACTAAAAACAGAAAATGACATCAAAAAATGGAATTGACATCAAAGACATTCACCCAGCAACATTAATATGAACATCATCACTACATACTGGAGGAGGAGGAGGTATTGGAGCATTTGATATTGTACCATCCACTAGCAGTTACATGTACATGTACATTAATATAATGATTAGTATAGTATACAAAGTGGATGACAGCTGCTGGATTAATTATAAGAAAATGTCGAATATTTATCAATTATACAATAGAAGAGGAGAAAAAGAGGGGGAGAGAGAAACGGGACAATAGACTATAAAACATGTAGTATTTAAGAATTAAGATATAATTATAGTTCCACTATACCATGTAAGGAGAAGTTTAAGTGGATTACCATATATGGGGTATAGTTTAAATGGATATAGTGTGAGACCTTAAAAATGACCATGTGACATTATGTACTATGAAAACAAAGATTAAAGAGAGAGGGGGAAACCCTGGTACTACCTTTACTCACAGATTCACATGTGCATGGGAATATGACCTTTCACATGACATATATTGCATCACATGAAACTATTAATAGTAACAACAATACATTACCACGAGGTCATATTGAAAGTGTTCTATTATTAGTAACACAGGTGATAATAACAAACTGCTACATCATACTATACCACAGGAACATGTGCATGTACATGTGCTTCATGTATTGATGTAGACCTAATAGTTAAAAATGAAAGTTATCGAAGCATAAACTGTATGAACAATGTGTGCTTTGTGTGTATTAGTTACAGAAAATAACAGGACCAATCTTGTTAGTGTTGGTAGTCTTTGATCTCATATATACTTACTGTGTGGGGCCATTGAGAATATAATAACAGTTAATCATTGTAATGAACTGTGTGTGTCTCTAATGATTAATTCAATCACCACTCCCAAAATTCCATCCCTCACTCTAAAGCTAGCTCTCTCTCTCTCAGACTATAAAAGGACATTATAAAGACTAATAGAAATATACATGTACATGTAGTATAGGTATATGTACGTGTAGCAAACAGCAGGTGTTTACTAGTAAACCTTACCTCCAAAACACACACACACACACATATATGTACATGGATGCATGTGCTCATTCATGACTTGTTAATGTCAATATATCACCAACAAATATTATATTATTAATAATTCACATGATGACTATATAAATACATGTACATGTACATATATATGTGTCTGTGTATATCCACATTGGTCTCTCCCTTCCTCTCTCTCTTCCTTTCTCTCTTCCTCTCTCTACTCCTCATATAGTGAGTGTCTGTTCATCACACGTTATAAGTTAAAGTATCAAATTACACATTCACCATAAGCTGTCATCATTATATTATAATAGTAAATATTACTACATCCTCTGTAGTGTACTGGTAAGGATTGGAGGCAAAGTATAAGGAACTGACAGCTGCTACTAACAAAATAAACCATCAATTATACTAGACACCATCACATGTAGAGAAATATGAAGGAAATCCAGTCAATCAATGTTTACCAAATGAACTATAATGAACAAGGAATTACTCCAAGAATTAAGACGTGTTACGTACACACACTTGTAGCAAACTATAGCAATAGATTAGAATGAGTATGTACAAATGATTACGTACATTAATATGTATAATATCTTAACTGCATAGCTGGAAGTAGTGTGGTCATGTTCTGTAGAGTGATTGAGGTTTAGTGCAGATTGTCTTAAAAGAAGGATACCATGATACCATCATACATGTACATAATGGTAGAATATTAACATTACTTATTGTATTGCTGGTAATTAAATTATAAAATGGGCAGGACTTCAATAAACAATCATTTTGAATTAAAGACGGTTTAAGTGACAAAGGTCATATAATAAAAATTAATAATGAACACTTACACAATAATTAGTTATAAAATAAACAAATGCAGTGTAAAAGAAATGTTTCAGATACATGTACATAAAGTTTGAGTTGATTTTAATTAAAGTTGGGTTTTTTGCAAAATTTCCTGATGCATATACATGTTCTTATGTTGTGTAGAAAGTTTGAGCTGATTACGATCAAAATTGAATTTTTTACAAATTTTAAAAGTTACTCCAAAATTGGACAAAAGTCCCTGTACTATATATTAGTAACGCGGTAGCGTTACTAAGTAGAATTCACCCCACTTCAAAATGGCTGCCACTACTTTTGCAGCCTTGCTATACTTAGTACATGGTCTCAGGCTAAATTTTGCCAAAAATGAAAAGTAGAGAATTCTTGATTTTTATTACATTTTCTGATACATATACATGTTCTTATGTTGTGTAAAAAGTTTGAGCTAATTCCAATTAAAATTGGATTTTTTAATGAATTTTTAAAATTGCTCAAAAATTGGACAAAAGTCCCTGTCTATATAGTACATGGTCTCGAGCCAAATTTGGCCAAAAATGGAAAGTAGAGAATTCTCCATTTTTATTACATTTTCTGATGCATATACATGTACTTATGTTGTGTAGAAAGTTTGAACTAATTCCGATCAAAATTGGATTTTTTACGAATTTTTTAAATTGCTCTAAAATCGGACAAAAGTCCCTGTACTATAGTACATGGTCTCGAGCCAAATTTGGCCAAAAATGGAAAGTAGAGAATTCTCCATTTTTATTACATTTTCTGATACATATACATGTACTTATGTTGTGTAGAAAGTTTGAACTAATTCCGATCAAAATTGGATTTTTTACGAATTTTTTAAATGGCTCTAAAATCGGACAAAAGTCCCTGTACTATTTCTGTGTTGTGTTTATTTTGTTAAAGATGTTTGTTAAGGGCTTAGTTCCCTCATGTAATGTACTATAGTACATGGTCTCGAGCCAAATTTGGCCAAAAATGGAAAGTAGAGAATTCTCCATTTTTATTACATTTTCTGATACATATACA